TACCAGAAGGAATTGCCTCACTACGCCCCTTTTTTTGTGAGCTGAGCCCGCCTTGTTTTGTGTGTCATGGTTCATCTCGTTCTTCGTGAGCTAAGTCTGGCTCGTTTTGCATGCGTTGAGCCAGCCTAACACATATGTTTTTTGACATAAATAGAAATTTTTTTTTTTTGCAAAATATTCTTCCTAAGTATTAAGTTAAACTTTTTAAGGAATTTGGAAGCAGTTTTATGATTTGTTGAGCAACAAATGTATATTTAGTAGAATATTTAAGCTGAAAACCAAAAAAAAATAAGTGAAAAGTATAGTAGTGAGGCCCAAAACACTGTCAAATGGGGTTCTACACTCAAGAATCTCACGGAAAGCCTCACTTTAATTTTCAAAACTTCCCAGTGAGGGGAAGGTGAAAATAAATCGATTGAGTGGAGAAGTTCATAATTCATTACACTTATGGATGTGACTATAATATGAAGGAAAAATGTTCGATAAGCTCTTGTATACTTTTACTGCTTATTCAGTTTTCAAGGTGACCTTAAAGAAATTTGCCCCTGCTTATTCAATCATTTCACTTGATGATCCAATACAAAAATGATAACACATGTTTTCTCCTTACTACGCTTTGAATTATATAGTGATTGATTCGAAATTGGGCTTAGAAAATAAATATTCAACATAAATAAATAAATAAAAATAATTATGTTTAATTCAATTCGGTTTGGTCAAAAATAGATATTCAACATAAATAAATAAATAAAAGTAGTTATGTTTAATTCGATTCGATTTGGTTTGAAACCAAACTGAACCAAAACCAAACCAAAACATTTTGTTTCGGTTCGATTTGATTTTTTTATTTCGATTCGATGTTCGGTTCGATTTTTTTTCAGTTTTCAGTTTTTTCAACCCATCCCTACCTGTAATACCCTTGCTAAATAATAAGTGCGGGAAGAATCATGCAAAGAAAGACATCCCGTCACTAGTTTTCCTCTCTTGATCAACATAAGCCCAAGTCTACGGGCCGAGCTGGACTTTAGTCTGTTGGGCTTGGGCCGGATAGTCTTTGCCCACTTTCACTTCAAACGGAAAAAGAAGTGGGAACCAAGGGCCACAAAATAATGAGACAAAGTAGACTGGTCCGAACTACTTATCCGGGCCGAGAAAACCCAATTGGTATGTAGGATTGGATAGCTCTCTAAACTAGGCCCAATAAATGGGTCGTGTTTGTGGTATTCTTGTCTTACCCGTTATCTTAACGGGTCGTGTCGTGTTAAACCCGTTAACGAGTCCTTAACAGGTGGTCTAATAACGATCCAAATCGTTAACAAGTTACATTGTTTCGTGTCGAGTTAATGGGTCGTGCAATGCAATGCAATGTCTAACGTCTAAATCTGGCAAACGATATCTTATCGGATTCTTAATAGGTAACTCGATAACGACACGAAATGTTATCAGATTCTTAGCATGTGACCCAATAACGACACGAAACGTTAACGGGTTATCCGATAACAACTCGACTTGTTAACAAGTTAACCTAAAACCCATTATTTTCGTGTCAAATTAATGAATCGTGTAAAAAATTGTGAAGCTTACTCTAAACTTCTTTTTAATCCCCCAGTCTTAAGAAGATTGAAATTTATAACTTATTTTAATCTTTGTCTTTTCTCTAAGTTGACCACAATGTTTCGGTTTTTTTCCTTCAACATACCATTAAAATATTAAATTATCCAATTCCAACCCGATCCTCAATAATAAACGAGGCCAAAGAGAACCTTCAACCAGAAAATGGATTGGAGATCAAATTTATTGGCTTGCTCTCTAAGTTTACCTATTAATGTGGAAGGATTATATTAAATTAAAATAATGAAACTTTAATTGAATAATTCTTTTTGTAGTTGATGCTGCTTTGTTTAAAGGAGAAGGATTGTCTGCCATCCTATTTTTTGTGCCCTCCTATTTTGTATGATCACAGTTAAGTCATGTTAATATTTTATATTGTTTTTTTATAAAGATAATAAGACAAAAATAAATAGTAATATAAAATGTTGACGTGATTTAACCGTGACCACACAAACAAGAGGGCATGTGAAGACACCGGAAGTAGGAGGGCAGACAATCCTTGTCCTTGTTTAAAAGAGTAGAAATGATATATTTTTGTCCCCATGCCAGAACATAGGCAGCTAAGGCCTACTGAGATCAGCTACGCGCAATGAAATTTTGTGGAAAGTTAAAAATTATGATATGCTTACAAAAGGGGTAGATAAAATATTTGCCATATTATTCATTCTCCTTGAACTAATCGGTTTTTCAAATAATTATGTATAATAATAAGCGATCATTATGAGAAAAATGGCAACAAGTTGACTTATTGAAATTTGAGAACAAAACAAAGCAATGAAATTATAGAAGATATTTTATTATCTTAAAAAAACAAAAAAATTTCACGTATAACTAGAGGTTAAGATTGCTCCCACTAAAATATGATCTTGCTCCGTCCCTGTCCCATGCCTATTTGATTTCATTAATTTTAGTTGTTTGGTTAGTTGGAAAATCTCATTACTTTTTCGAATCCTTCCTTCCATTTCATACCCGAGACGAGAGACCAAGTCATTTTCAATGCATTTAGCCCCAGTTTGGGGTTGAGGTGATTTAAAAAAAAACTCCTATGAAAAAAAGCTGGGAGTGTTTTTGGTGTTTGGTAAACTTAAAAAAAAGGGCTTATTTTGGAAGCTGCTGTGAGAATAAGCTGAAATCAAAGGAAAAAGCTGAAGCTGCAATTTGTAGCTTTGGAAAACTGGCTTTTTTTTCAAAGCACATAGAACTGCAGTGCTCCTTTAATGAAAAGATCCACTATCAGACTGCTTTTTTTTTCAAAAGCACTTTTACAAAAAAGTTTACCAAACACTCTGCTGATTTATTTCACAGCCGCTTATTCTCACAGCACAGCCGCTTATTCTCACAGCAGCTTTTTTTCAAAGCACAGCAATACCAAACCAGCCCTTAATTTCCTCCTATTCCGCATGCAGTTGCAGCAGTTCATATGATGGATTGATGTACGTACTAATTTATTATAATTTTGTGGAAAAAAAAAATTAGACTAGTCAATTGTAGTAGATGGATTGTAGATGGCGTTTATCGTATTAGCGGAAATCAATCATATTGATGCACATTGATAAGGGTTTGATCCCTACAATTCATTTCCTTCTTAACAACTAATGGCTTGTTTGGAAGTATTTTTAAAATATAAGTGAATCTTAGAAAAGCACTTTAAGTGTTTCCGACAAGAAGCATATCAAATAACTAATGATCCTTACATGAAGCATTTCAAGTACTTTTAAAACCCAATTTTTATTTTTTTTTCAAGAACGTTTTCAAACAAGCCTTAACTATTTAACCCATTTATGTTATCACTCTGTTAAAAACAAAAATTGAAGTAGATGGGTTTCACTTCAAGCGATAATATGTCTTGATGCAGAGCACTCTCAAGAGTCAAGTGAGTGCGAATTATTCCGGTCAATATTTGAGATCTGTCGCATATCGTATGCACCTGGCTATTACTTGCTTCACAATTTCTCGGGAAAACTGTGTATGTTTCTTGTGCGACTTTCACTTAAATTTGAATGGCATTAACTGGTACAGTTACGGAACGACGAACGAAGACCGCCACGAGAAATTCACCATATGTTCATACATGTCGATTATACATATATATACATATATACATGCGTGTAATGACGGTTTCAGGATTTAAACTTTAGGAGTTCCAGTATTAAATACAAGTTTTTTATATAGGAACAGAACGTGAAGAGCGCAAAAAAAATTCAGTTTATTCAGTCAAACCATGTTGCGCACTTGTCAATAGATATCGGCATATGCAGATAATCTGATGAGTGATAAAGAGAGAATTTGTCGAGTATTGTTATGCTTAGTATGCTTTACATTAAACATATAATAGGCACAAAAGGAATTCATATCAAACATTTGAAGGTCATCATAAGACCTTCATATGTATATTTTCCAGACTTCGGGTGGTCTCCTTGGTCCTTATTTCCATCCGTCCCTACACATGCACGCACACCTATGTATGTATGTATGTATGTATGTATGTATATATGTATGTATGTATGTAAAAGTTCGTCTTAGTGATTTCTGATCAACCCGAACAAACATGTATACGACAGTGCGTACGTATGTATGTATAGTAAAGAAGAAAACATGTACGTACGCTTTGACTGGCACTGAGAGTTTTCAAATTTCTTCATCTTCATCTTCTCTTAAATAAAAAGACTACTGATCAACGTAAATATCAAGGAAAGAACCTCAAATGCACTTTCCATGCATTATACAGGTCAATTTCCATATGGTCACTGCAGAAAGTTGTGGAATAACAGGAATTTTGGTGGTTGGTGGTGTGGAAAATAGATTTTGTATGTGGAAAATAGATTTTGTATTGTTATGTGTGGTGTGGAAAATAGATTTTTTATTGTTATGTTATAATATGTACAACAACAACAACCAACCTTATTACACAAAGTGGGATCGGCTGTATACATCCTAGAACGTCACTGCAATTTAGTTTTGCCCCATTTCTTCCCTTAACTCCAAGTACTCCATATTTTTTTTTAAAGTCTTTCTGAATCTTCCTCTACTCTTTTTTGTCCTGAGTCTCTGTCTCGTAACCCTATCTTCTAACCGCAACATCTGTAGGTCTTCAGTTCACGTGTCCAAACCACTTGAACTGATTTTCTCTCATCTTATCTTCAATTGCGACCACTCCTACTTTACCTCGGATATCCTCGTTCTTAATCCTATCTTCTGTTATAATACATCCTATCTTCTGTTATAATACATAGTCACACACACATATATGTATGGGTGTGAAGGAGTACGTACAAATAATGGATGATGTTGAAATGTGGTGTGAACCAATGGATCTCACATGTCATTGCTTATGAGGACTGCAGACTGCTGCAGGCTTTCCTGCTCTAGTCACCTCCTTTGCCATATAAATATATGTCAAAATTTTAGATAGACTATGTTTCTGGTAAACACATATTTCACTATAAGTTTGACTGGAGCAATCAGTAATCCAAATCCAAAATGTACAAGTTTCCTACAAGTTTGACATCAATGTCCGCTGCCATGACATTGCAGCCTGTGATGAGAATTCAGGCCTGCAGGTGCATTGCTCTTTGAGCTTTTATCTATCACTCACTTTTCTGCATTCACAAATACTTAACCTTTCTTTTGTTTGTCATTTTTTTTGTTATTACGCAGTTTCAAGATCGAAAAGGAGCGATTTGGTATGAACTTTACGATTTATACACTACGCGATTATCTGTTCCACACACACCTTGTATCATACTATGATTGTTCAATCTTTACATCTATCTCAACTGTCAGACCGAAGTTTCAGAAACTGATCACGAATATGAACTGCTGTAAAATCAGGTTGTCGTACGAAGGTACCTCGCAATGCAAACATGGAGAAGCTGCGGAATGGCTATTTGTTTCCTGAGGTGGTTTCATGTTATTTCATTCAGTCTTGTTAATTTTGGCAATTGGATTAGTTACTAAATACACTAGTTTAGTGGTTTAAATTCTTTCGACACGGTCGATATTTTCTTAGAAATATAAAAACAAAAAATTAGACAAATATATGAAAAAGGGGTGAAGTCTAAACTTTATAAGATATCGGATACTCTTAAATTTCAGCTAAAATCAACATATTTCGTATATATTTTCGACATATCGGTCAAGTATCAACAAACTATCATATGAGATTCCCTACAATTTCATTCTAAATGTTCACGTTTTTTAGCAAATTTCTATCATTTTTATCAAAGATAACCAGATATCAGTATCAATATATTCTTCGATATTTCTACAAATTTGCGTATGGTATTTCTACCGATACCGATATTTAAACACTGCATCGGTCAGAATTTCATGCTAACAATATATACACACATGTATATGTATGTATAAATTTAGATTTCAAGGCTGGAACTTGAACACATAGAGAAGTACCCGAATGCAAAGTTGATAAGCCTCGGAATCGGCGACACAACGGAACCAGTGCCCGAAATCATCACGTCGACCATGGCTAATGTTAGTAATTTCCACTGAATCATACAGATTACAGAAGAGGAGGAGCAATAAGAAAAGAAAAGAAAAGATTTGGGTGGACTTTATTTTCAATGTCCTAATATTTTAGGGGTTTTTGGTGTTTTTGCAGTATGCAAATGCCCTTTCCACCGCTGATGGCTATACAGGGTATGGACCTGAGCAAGGCCACAAGGTACCATACTAATACCCTAAACTGCTTGCTTGCATTCACCATTTTTTCTTTTGCTTTCCGGCCCCGGGCGCCGACCGTTGTTCTCTTTTCAGATTGTGAATCTCAAATATTGGTTACTTTAGTTTTTACTAGAGTCAAATATAAGTCTAACGAGAAAACGTTGCTCCTTTTTGTCTCACTCTATACATATACGTTTGCACACACGCTTGCTAATTACCTAAATTGTGTATATGTCTACATATAGGCATTGCGGAAGGCAATTGTAAAAGCCTTCTATAAAGATCTGCAGATAAAAGACACAGAAGTTTTCGTATCCGATGGAGCGCAGTGTGACATTACTCGGCTTCAGGTACTCGATCACCATTTAAGTTCGGTGGATGAAAGCTCGTTACCATATTCCGTTCAACGCTAGAAGCAAAGGGCATTGCAGTAATACAAATTTATGAATCATTGAATTGTTTGTGTGTTACAGTTGCTGCTGGGCTCCAAAGTGACCATAGCCGTGCAGGATCCATCCTTTCCGGTAAGTTGTTATGTTAATCTTGTTGACAATCAACGAATGCGTAGTTGAATTATTCCGAAGGAAGAATGAACGAATGGTACCTGATCCGATACATGGCACTGGCAGGCTTACATCGACTCGAGTGTGATAATAGGTCAGGCTGGAGATCTTAAGGGCGATGGCGGGAGGTACGGGAGCATTGAGTACATGAACTGTGGACCCGAAAATAACTTCTTTCCCGACTTGGCAACCACTCCCAGAGCAGATGTTATCTTCTTCTGCTCTCCAAACAACCCCACTGGTCATGCAGCAACCAGGAAGCAATTGGAGCTTCTTGTCAAGTTTGCCAGGGACAATGGATCCATTATCATCTTCGACTCTGCTTATTCGTCTTATGTACAAGATGATCGCTGCCCTCGTTCCATTTTTGAAATCCCTGGTTCTAGACAGGTTGCAATCGAAATATCATCATTCTCCAAGTTTGCTGGCTTCACCGGTGTCCGTCTAGGCTGGACAGTTGTGCCTGACGAGCTCTTATACTCAAATGGATTTCCTGTTATACATGACTTTAATCGCATTGTCTGCACTTGCTTCAATGGGGCGTCCAATGTTGCTCAAGCTGGTGGACTCGCCTGTCTTTCCTCGCAGGGCTTCAAGGTAAACCTTTATATATACAAAATAAATAAATAACTTCCAAACAAGGTACATGTCTGCAAATTCACATTTTGCGGTTTCAGGCTGTGAATTCTCTGGTTGACTACTACATGGAGAATGCAAATATACTGGGTGAAGCACTGGCTTCTGTTGGTTTACAAGTATACGGCGGTGCAAATGCTCCCTACATTTGGGTGCACTTTCCAGGTTCAATTTCTTGGGATGTATGCAAAGACATTCTTGAGGAAACACACATAATTACAGTTCCGGGATCTGGATTTGGTCCGTCGGGTGAAGGGTTCCTGAGAATTAGTGCTTTTGGCCACAGAGAGTGTATCCTAGAGGCCGCAGATAGGCTTAAAACCCTATTTCTATAGGAATTAGGAACACCCTATTTCTCACTTCATCTATTCACAATAAGTATGCACGGCGCCATTGGGATGGCTAGGCCCACTAGATGTTCGACGTTACAACTTAGAGGGTTCATTTTATAAGAGGGAATAATTACTAAACCAATAATGATTCGTGGCACGGGCAAAAAGTTGCATGAGAATGTGATTTATCGTATTTTCTATCTAATGTTAAAGTTACATATGTCTTTGAGAGTGTGTGTGGGCTTTTCTAAATATTAAGTTGCTTGGCTACAGTTACCCTTGAATTAAACAGTCTTGTCACAGAAGTAGAGCAATCAATCTCAAAGGAACGAGGCACATGGTTAAGCAAAACTTTGACAAAAATATTCATTACCTACTTTCGTACAAAAGAAACCGACTGATATGAACAACTAAAACCACATATATTGTTTCTCTAAGAAAATGTTACGAAGATTTGCTGACATATTTATGTCACTCACCATTTTAATTACTGGCCACATCGCTTCAACTCACGATATATGCCAGGGGATGAAGGTCTGCACCTCAAAATAAAGTATTTCTTAAATAACTTTACAATCTACGTCAGTAGAAATGCATCAACAATCCGATGCACCGCTATCAAGATAAAGAAAATGCTAAAAATGTGTTTTTAATGCAGCCTAGAGATAATTGAACTAACTGCAGGTCTGGGGAAATTAAGTCAAAACAAATTCATTGAACGGGAAAGAAAATAGCTTGAGACAGCAGGTCTTATATACACTATACCCTGAACCTTTATAATTTTGAACACAACGGTCAAATATAGAATGATTACATCAGTAAAGAGCTATCACAATGCACTGATACTAGTTTCAAACTTCGACAGAACAAAAGAGTAAGATAGCTTACAGTGATTACATCAACCGAAACATTTTTCAAGTCTTGAGCCATATTCAAAATCTTAAGGGAATCCAAAACATCAAACATCAAGGACTAGACAACTAACCAGGTCAGCAGCCCGTGCACTTCTTGTGGCAATTACTTTCCAGAGATCTCGTTCTGATTCTGCTGGTCGTTCAACATCTTCATGGGGGTCATTGTGTGATGAGGATGAAGCTACTGAGCTTGACGCAAAATGGTCCTGCACCGAAGCCTGCAGAACAGCAATTTTGTGATTTGCATCCTTTGTGATTACATGAAGCTTCCCCAGCAATCCAGCAAGCAAATAGGGAGACTCTGATTCAGTGAAGTCACGAATTGGAACATCTTCTGCAACAACCTTCCAGGCATCAGCTTGGTAATCGTATACCTTGATCTTTGCACTGTCAAGAGAACTAGAAGGATCCAGTGCATACAATTCACCATCAACTGTGACACTCATTTTCGTCCCTGCCTGCCTCGCAGGCCAACCCTCGCCCATACCAATTGGCATTTCAACCCATGAATTTGCCTCTGGATCATAAACCTCTCCTCCAACATCAACAAAAAATGGCCAGCAGTACAAACTCTGGGGAACAAACAACCTTCCCCTGTATGAAGTCATTCCAGTAGCAATAGGCTTCAGCAGATCAGCCAAAAATGCAGTTGGTAACACCTGAGCTTTCATAAAAGGCATGCTTGGTACTTGAGACCACACACCTGTTTTTGGATCAAATACTTCAGCTGATTGAAGAGGGGTCAATCCACCATGACCCCTTGTAACACCTCCAACAACATAAAGCTTATTGTTTAAGATGCCGGTCTTACAATAAGCTCTACCAATTGACATTGGACTTGATTCACTCCAAGTATTTTTAACTGGATTGTACCGCCATGTGCATCTCAGGGCCGAAGCCTTGGAAAATCCCCCTAGCACATAGAGGCAGCCATCAATAGCCCCAATAGAGCAACCACAAAAAGGCATTCGATCCAGTGAATCCTTCCTCCCAAGCCAACCCATGACGGCATCCGCAATTCTGATACTGGAGCCTGCCATATTCCACATTCTCTGGCCAGTTAAACCTTTCCTAGATTCATCTTCCAGAGTAACATTAGGCATAGGTGGCAACCTTTGCCATCTTCCGGCCATAGGATCAAGTGCATACCATATGAGCTTATCATTTTGGACCTTTGTTAACATGTAGAGCCATTCCTCCTTTGTTCCTAGCTCTTTTCTCAAAGAGAAGAGTTCAGCACTTGTAACGGTGGCTTTCCAGGTCCTCGAAACAGACTTGAGCTTCATATAGTGGATCCTAGGAATTCTAGCAAGAATCTGAATAGATATCTCGTCAGGAAGACAGGGAATCAATCTCGGGTTTTCGTCATAAAAGCTTGGGGACAACCTCGGTCTCTTGCAAGATGCACTACGTAAATCTTGAGACGGTTCACCGACCCTAGCCTTGGAATGGTTCAAGCTCAATATACCCCCCATTAGAGTACCTTCCTTCAACCTCTTCAATTACAGTTTTACCAATCCTATATATCTACAACTACAAGCACGCTGAACAAACAAATAAAAAAACTTTGGCATGAGAAATCGAGAATCAATATCGAATGCCAATAATCGTAAGTAACAAAATGCAATGCAGAATGCAATGCAGATAAATGAAAATTTGACCTTAAAACACTAAATTGCCACGTTGAATTCAAGACACCAAATTATCGAAAGTGCCGATTTCCGGCATACAGGTCAGCTTAATGTATGTAAGATATATTTCCGTTGACAATATCAATGGTTGTTAAGATTTTTCGGGCCGAAAAATGGTTCACAAGATCAAATTTTCAGGCCGAAATTCGCAAAAAAATTCACAAATTCCCAATCCTTTTTGTTTGCCCCAATTTTTCTCGGACACCAACTAAAGTAAAAAATTTGATGTAATTGGAATCAAAATTCAATCGTTTCACTTCACACAATCAACAAAATTGGAAGAAAAATTAAAAAAAAAATCAAATAAATAAAAAGGAGAAAGGGAATCGAGAGCGGTGGATCACCTGGGAAATGGAATCTGGGTGCTTCCCTCCAACCCCAAGCTTAATAGTGAGGTGAAGCAAAAGTCACTGGAAACCCTCAGTTTCTTCTCCCTCTTCTGTTTTGCTTTGTTTTGTCTCTTTGTTTGCGTGCGCCACGAAACTTATCTGATTCCCTGCAACGCGGTCCAGCTCTTTAGCTTATGTCTCCACCGTTGCTCCAACCGATGGCTGGTCAAAGAGCTCGTTTTAGCCATCTGTCTCTCCAAGATCCTTCAAGATATTAATATTTTAATGAACAGTACATGACCATATTTTCCTTCGTCTCCAACCGAGAGCCAGAGAGCTCGTTTTAGCCCTATCATAAAAAACTGTCTTCAACCGAGGGCCATAAGACAATCTCCAACCCTGACCTAAAACCTAAAATTTCCATTTCCCCCCCCCCCAAAACTCACTCCAACCCATGTGCTAAACAAAACCTAAAACCTAAAACTAAAAAAAATGCCAAATTCCGGCCCGTTTTTAGGCCAAAAGCCATTATGGGCCCTACCTGTTGCGAGTGAAACATGGGCTGTGAAGCCCAGATGCCTGAGCCAATTGCCCAACGCGCTTCAACGCGCGAGCCGGAATCCCACGGGACCCCACCCCACGTGGGCGTGTCCCCTGCTGTCAGAAGGCAATAGTAGCCTAACGGCTACTTTTCGATCGAACGGCCATATTTAAATGGGCCGTTGGTTAATCCAACGGTCCACGTTCAAACTTTAATTTTTTTAGTTTTATATTTATATATTTATTGAATCCAACGGCTTAGATCCAATATAATCAAATCTAACGGTAAAAAAAAAAGATCTAACGGTCCAAATTTAAATCCAACGGCTAAAATAATTTAAAAAAATTATTTAACTTAAAATTCAACCAAAAAATCTATAAATACCTATGTATTTGTTCAAATATCCACACAAAACTCACTTTTCTCCTACAATTCTTCTAATTTTTCTTTCTACCATTTCTTCTTATTTCCAAAATTTTCAAGATGGCAAAAGAGCATGTTAGAGGTCGTAATTGGACCTTTGATGAAGATATTGCTTTATGTTTGGCATGGATTTCTGTTAGTGAAGATGGTGCCATCGGCACCAATCAAAATAGAAAGGATTTGTGGGGTAAAATCATTGATAAGTTCCATGAAAACTCCAATGCCGGTCGAAGGGAAGGTGGTGGTGTTTATGATCGGTGGAAGATTATCAACAAAGCGTGCACTTTGTGGAAGGGAAGTTTGGAGAGAGCCATGGTTGACATGCCTAGTGGAAGGGGCGCCTCAGAAATTGTGAGTTTCTTTGTTGATATTTTACTTGTCATGTACATGATAGTATTTTGCAACTAATTATTTTTATGTATTTGTTGCATAGGGTGACAAAGCAATGGCAATTTACAAGACAAGAACTACACCAAAAAATCAAGCTTTTAAGTTGCATCATGCTTGGAACATCCTCAAGGATTGTCCGAGGTGGAGAACCGATGCAAATCAACAATGTGGAAGATTATTTCATAATGAAGCCCCACCCCCAAATGATGTCAATGAAGGTGTGAATTTTGCCGACAATGAAGGTATCGACCAAATGAGCCCAACTTCTTCTTTGCCAAGGCCCTCGGGTAGAGATAAGCAAAAGGAAGCAAAGAGAAAAGGGAAGTCCCAAGATCCGATACGTGCATAATTTGTTAGCGAAATGGCAAGAATGAACGAAAACCAGTGTCGTCGGCAAGAAGAATCGGCCCAAATGTTTTTGGCCATGAAGCAAGAAGGGGATAGGGAGCAAGAAAGGTACGAAACTAATTTGATAATGGAGGACCTTGACAAATACACTCCAGAGAGGAAGAGATACTTACGTGGTAAGCAAAAAGAAATTTTACGAAGGAATGCCACAAGAAGTATATTTCAAGATGATGATTCATCTCAAGACTATCACCCAAGCCCCCCACCAAGTCAAGATGATGGATATCATTATTAGGTTTATGTAGTCTATGAGTTTTCGAATGTATTAAGTTTATGTGGTTTATTAATTGTCTTTTTTTTTAAGTTTATGTGGTTTATCATGATTTTCATGTATTGATTTAGTGATTTTTCAAAATTTATCGGAATTTAAATATTTTTAGGTTAAAATGTTCATAAAATTAATTTATGATAGTCTACATAATTTTTTTTTTAAAGTTAATTTTAAAAAAAAAATTAGCCTTAATTCATTTTTTGATAATCTGGGGCTAAAATTTTAGGCCAAAAGGGTTGGAGTAGAAAAACTGTTTCTGGGCTAAAACCTAAATTTTCTGGGCTAAATATTTTTAGGTTTTAGGTCAGGGTTGGAGATGGTCTAAGACCAAACATAATTTATTATTTAAAAACTACAACTTAAATTCAAATCCAACGGCTAAGTGAAACAAATTTTGTGAAATAGAAGTTATAGGAAAAAAAAAAGAATTTAAAATAAAATGAAACAAATTTTGGGAAATAGAAGTTATAGGAAAAAATGGAATTTAAAAAAAATATGAAACAAATTTTGTAAAATAAAAGTTATAGGAAAAAATATAAGTTATATGAAAAATTTTGTAAATAAAAAATAATAATAAAACTGTAAAAAAAAAATTCAAATGCAAAGGCTAATCAACTAGCCGTTGCATTTGAATTATAATCGACAAGAAATCCGACACATTTAAAAAAATTCTGGCCAGCCCAGGGCTGGTTGGCTGGCTAGAAGTGGCCAACCCTCTAGCCCTTTGGCCCTTTCTGATTCCGTGAGGCCCTCTTAGATTCCACAGCCCTTTGGCCTAGCCCTCGGTTGGATACGATTTTCGGGCTATTTTCGACCCTCCCTTCGGTTGGAGTACCATCTTCAAACAAGGGGCCAAAGGGGTATAGGCCAAAATATAGTCCGTTTGACAATAAAACTCATCTCCAAGCGAATGGGGCTATTTTTTAGCCCTTTCAATAATTTATTATTTTAATTGAATTACTATGGTTAATTGAATTAAATTACCATATTAAAATAAGATTTTAAGACATATTTTGAGTGTCACTTATCGCTAAATGAATAAGCATCCGGTTTTTATCTTTATATAATGAAAAGGATGTGAAAAATTGGTGTAGAATTGAAATAAAATGAGGTAAGATAGTATGGAATGGTGAAAATGATGTGAGAAATCGTGTAGAAATGACTTAGGTATTTATAGAAGAAAAAAATTAGAATTTTTTTTTTTAATTTCATCTTAAAAAAAAATCCAACAGTAACATGACATCAGGTAGCATGTGTTTGGGCTAGGGGAATCAGGCTAGCTGGCTGATTATGGCCAGCCCGTTGCCCTGGTGGGGCCCACAAACCCTTTGGCTTAGCTCTCGGTTGGAGACGGTTTTCGCGTCAAAACTAGCTATTTTTTGGCCTATAACCCTTTGGTTGAGTCAGTTGGAGAAGGCCTAACTGAAAAGGGGTCAAAAGACTATATTTAGCCCTAATAGCCCAGTAAGAAATTATTTTTAATGAACAATGTCAGACCATATTTATATATCATTTCCAACTGAGAGGGCCATAGGCCAAAACATAGCCCATTTACAAAAAATTCATCTCCAATCGAAGGGGACTATTTAGCCCCCACAATAATTTATTATATTAATGGAATTAATATGGTTAATTGAATTAAATTATTATATTAAAATAAAGTTTTCGGACATATTAAAATGAAATAATATGGTATGGAATGGTGAAAAGGATATAAGAAATGGTAGAAATGGCTTAGGTATTTATAGGAAAAAATATTATAATTCTTTTTTATTTATTTTAAATTTCGTCAAAAAAAAAATCAAATTCCAACGATAACCTGACGTCAGCTAGCCGTTGCTAGCTAGCATCATGTTGACGTCAGGTTACCGTTGGAATGGGTTTAGACTGTTGCAATCGGGCTGGTGGATGAATTATGGCCTGATGGGGTCCACAAGCCCTTTGGCCTAGCCCTCGGTTAGAGACAATTTTCGTGTCAAAATGGGCTATATTTTGGCCTATGGCCCTTTGGCCAGGTCGGTTGGAGATGATCTTAGGTTACGAAATAATCTGCTTACATTTCTTTAGGATAATTTTAACCCAAGTACAAACTAAAATTTGGTTTTGTTCGCACTCTAAAAATGTTATCGTGCACTCGTCTCAATTCAAAAGAGAATTTTCTCGTGTTTTTATAAATTTGAAGTGCTAATGACATCCTCCTCTCGAAAACTCTATAAAGTAGTTTAATGAGGGTGTAGAAATCACTTATAACTTAAGTGATTAAGGGAAAATGTTGATAAACTTTTAGGTTAAGTATAATCTACACGTAGCATGGAGTTGACATCTAACTAGACTCGTCTTTTAAGACTTTGTGTTGAAACGTCGTCAAGTCATGTTGACGTGAGTCAATGTACCATAAGGATTCAATGTATGTTGAGTTTAGATCATGTTGGCATGAGCCAATGCACATTAAAAATTGAGTAAATTGTAGCAATGGTCCCTCTACTTTAATCAAATTAGAGCAATGGTCTCTCAACTAAAAATCCATTACCATTGGTCCTTCAACTTATCAAAATGTGTAGTTATAGTCATTTTCATCAATTTCATCAAAATTTTGTCAAAATAAGTTATGTTGGAATGACTATTTATACAATTAGGGTCCCTCAACTCATCAAAGTGTGTAATTATGGTCATTTTCGTCAACTACGTCAATTTTTTTGTCAAAACGAGTTATGTTTGAAGGACCATTGCTACAATTGGGTTAAAGTTAAGGGACCATTTCTTCAGTTGAATTAAAGTTGAGAGACCAATGGTAATGAATTTTTAGTTAAGGGACAATTGCTCCAATTGAGTTAAAGTTAAAGGACCATAGCCACAATTTACTCTTAAAAATTCAATATATATTGGCGCGATTCAATTTACCATAGCGACGCATGTCCTTTTTTTATCCAGTCCGTTACTCGATCTGAACGCTCGGAAAGGGTTCGAGCTGAGCATATTAGTTGTAGTGCGCTCGACTCGAGTCCAAATTCATCTGATTCCCTGTAATGCAATCCACGTCTTAACTTATGTCTCCACCTCATTCGTTGTTTGCGGACTTCTTCAAGAGGTCCTTATATGCTAGTCAATCACGGTTGCATTATTTAATGGACCCG